TAGAGTCTGGCAAGACTGGCCCGTACGGGCAGGGGTACCTTTACCTTTACCTAAGGCAGTATTGAAGTTTTTTTGGTGAGACTTTGTGCCCCTTGTATGCCAATGCTGTAAGGAGGTAAATGGTGTCCTTTTGACAATTTTCCTCTGATGTACTACTCAAGAGTAGGTCATCAACGTACATCAAGAGGGCAGATCCTGCTGGGAAAGTTAAGTCCTGTAGGTCCTTATGCAGGGCTGATGCAAAGATGGTAGGGCTTTCTACGTAGCCTTGGGGCAATCTGGTCCATGTCAATTGACTGCTTCCCCATGTGAAGGCAAAAAGGAACTGGCTTTCCTCATGAACTCTTATAGAAAAAAATGCAGAGCACAGGTCCACGACACTGAAGTGTGTGCTGTCGGGAGGGATTCCTGTTAATATGGTGTTTGGATTGGCTGTGATGGCATGTCTTGGGATTACAAAATTATTTATGATCCGCAAGTCCTGCACAAGACGGTATTTGATGGGAGTCCCTGGGGGCCAGGTTTCTTGACAGGAAGAAGGGGAGAGTTACACGGGCTGGCACAGGGCCCAAGGATTCCTTGATCCATGAAGTCCTTTATCATTGGTTTCAATCCTTCTATTGCTTCTGTGGGGAGGGGGTATTGCTTGACGCAAGGGTACGGAACGTCTGTGCGGTATTTGATTATAACGGGGTCTGCAGATTTAAGTCCTACTGCTGTGGAGGTAGTTCCCCATAACCAAGGGGGCACAGTGTTCTCAATAGAAGTGGGTATTCCTACATCAGGGGAGTTCTCTTCAGTTAAGATACCCTGGAAGGAGGCTGCAGAATCTTCGGGCATGTGTAGAAAAATACCATCGGGGCTACATGTGATAGTCGCTTTAAGTTTGCACAAGAGATCCCTTCCCAAAAGATTTACAGGACTGGCAGTGAGGAGAAAGGAGTGCTCAGCTGTTAAGGGTCCCAGTGTCACTGTGGTGGGTTACATGTTCTGGGAATTCCGTCAATGCCCATGATGTGTTGCCTTTTGTGACTTGGGGTTAAATGACTATCACTTAAGGTAGAGAATGTAGCACCCGTGTCCACTAGGCATCTATATTCATGTCCATTGATATTTATAGTGCAAATGGGTTCATTGGAAGAAAGGTGGAATGTTGGGCAGACTAGGGCAGCCGATTCAGAACTCCCCACTAATTGTCAATAGTCAGATCTCTGAGATTGGGTTTGAAGGAAGGGATTCTGATGTTGTCTTTCGTGGCTCGGGTTTAATGCTGGGTTTTGGTTGTAGTGATTAGCAGTATTGAAGGTTTGACCAGTGGCATTTAAGCGTGCAGGACAATCCCTTCGGAAATGTCCTTCTTGCTGGCAATGGTAACAGCGTGAGTTTGTGGGGTTGCAATTTATTTCATTGTCGGCATTTTGCTGATGATTGCTTCGGGGAAATGAATAATTATTTTGTCAGGGTCCTTTATATGGAGGTTGGCTATAGGGGTGGTTTGGTTGCGGTTTATACGAGGTATTTGCAGGTGTTGAAGGAGCTTTATATGGTGGGTTCAGAGGAGGAAGAGGAGGATTATAGGGTGCGCCAAGTGCTAGCGCTAAAACACAAGCATTTTCCTCCCTCTCCCTTTTATCCTCCTTCTTTTTCCTCTCATCTCTTCCATCGAAGACAGTTTTTGCAATTGCTAGGATTTCACTCATAGGCTTTCCTTCATAACCCAGTTGGAGAGTGAGGACCTTTTTAATATCTGGGCTGGATTGATCTTTGAAGAAGCTTTTTACAATGACTTGATTTTCTGCGTTATCAGGATCTATTCCTCCCCAGGTTCTGAAGGCTGATATTAGTCTGGTGTAAAAGGCAGAAGGGGTTTCGTCTGGCCCTTGACTGATGGCTTGGATTTTTGTCCAATTTATGCTCTTTCCCCCTGCTAATTTTATTTGGAATAGTTAGTTTTTGCACTGTGGTCTGAGCCCCTTGCGGGCATTGGTCCACCAAAGAAGGTGGCATGGAATTTACATTCGACCCAGGCAAATCTTTGGCAAAGGAAGGTGCCAATGGAATTACCTTTGGCATGACCTCAGAGGAGAGAGGCTGGAAATCTAGAGGCTGAGATGGAGGGAACAATATTATGGTATTTTTAAAAGCAGCTAGGGGTTGCAACAATGTGGGAGCATTCACAGAGACAGCTGGTGGCTGGAGCAAAAGGTTAGAGAGCTTTCCAACTGCGTCTCTACACAAATGCCAGGTGTGCAAGACTTGTACAGATGCCTCAGGATGTCTATGGAGTGCATCGCCCAGCTCATTCCATTTCTTAATGTCATAAGTACCCCCCTCTGGAAACCAGGGGCACAGTCTAGCAATCTCTAACAACAATTTTTCTACTAGGGGTGCTAAATGCTTATCATGCACTTCCTGAGCTAGCAAATTATTCCTATGCTTTTCCTGAAGACATCAAGAAGTGGTAAGAAGAGGTGGCAAGAATACACAGAGGAACTATACCGGAAAGAAATGGATGTCTTGTACACCCCAGGTAGTGTGGTTGCTGACCTTGAGCCAGACATCCTGGAGAGTGAAGTCAAATGGGCCTTAGAAAGCACTGCTAATAACAAGGCCAGTAGAAGTGATGATATTCCAGCTGAACTATTTAAAATTTTAAATGATGATGCTGTCAAGGTGCTACACTGAATATGCCAGCAAATTTGGAAAACTCAGCAGTGGCCAGAGGATTGGAGAAGATCAGTCTACATCCCAATCCCAAAGAAGGGCAGTGCCAAAGAATGCTCCAACTACCGCACAATTGCACTCATTTCACACGCTAGCAAGGTTATGCTTAAAATTCTACAAGGCAGGCTCAAGCAGTATGTGGACCGAGAACTCCCAGAAGTGCAAGCTGGATTTCGAAGGGCAGAGGAACCAGAGACCAAATTGCAAACATGTGCTGGATTATGGAGAAAGCTAGAGAGTTCCAGAAAGACATCGACTTCTGCTTCATTGACTATGCAAAAGCCTTTGACTCTGTCGACCACAGCAAACTATGGCGAGTTCTTAAAGAAATGGGAGTGCCTGATCACCTCATCTGTCTCCTGAGAAATCTCTATGTGGGACAAGAAGCTACAGTTAGAACTGGATATGGAACAACTGATTGGTTCAAAATTGGGAAAGGAGTACGGCAAGGCTGTATATTGTCTCCCTGCTTATTTAACTTATATGCAGAATTCATCATGCGAAAGGCTGGGCTGGATGAATCCCAAGCCGGAATTAAGATTGCCGGAAGAAATATCAACAACCTCAGATATGCAGATGACACAACCTTGATGGCAGAAAGTGAGGAGGAATTAAAGAACCTTTTAATGAGGGTGAAAGAGGAGAGTGCAAAATATGGTCTGAAGCTCAACATCAAAAAAACGAAGATCATGGCCACTGGTCCCATCACCTCCTGGCAAATAGAAGGGGAAGAAATGGAGGCAGTGAGAGATTTTACCTTCTTGGACTCCATGATCACTGCAGATGGTGACAGCAGTCACAAAATTAAAAGACAACTGCTCCTTGGGAGAAAGGCGATGGCAAACCTAGACAGCATCTTAAAAAGCAGAGACATCACTTTGCCAACAAAGGTCCATATAGTTAAAGCCATGGTTTTCCCAGTAGTGATGTATGGAAGTGAGAGCTGGACCATAAAGAAGGCTGATCGCCGAAGAATTGATGCTTTTGAATTATGGTGCTGGAGGAGACTCTTGAGAGTCCCATGGACTGCAAAAAGATCAAACGTATCCATTCTTAAGGAAGTCAGGCCTGAATGCTTACTGGAAGAACAGATCGTGAAGCTGAGGCTCCAATACTTTGGCCACCTCATGAGAAGAGAAGACTCCCTGGAAAAGACCCTGATGTTGGGAAAGATGGAGGGCACAAGGAGAAGGGGACGACAGAGGACGAGATGTTTGGACAGTGTTCTCGAAGCTACAAACATGAGTCTGACCAAACTGCGAGAGGCAGTGGAAGACAGGAGTGTCTGGCGTGCTCTGGTCCATGGGGTCACGAAGAGTCGGACACGACTAAACAACTAAACAACAGCAACATGCTTTTCCTGCACATGTGAAATCTTGCTTCCCATTATCTCACCTGAAGGGTAATAGACGCGCGTCTTTGGGGCTCGTTCCGAGCAAATGAGATCCTAAGTCCGGGAATCGTTTTGCAGGAGATGACCCACCGCGACCGAGGGATAGCAGGTTGCTAGCTCTGAGGAGAGTCCAATCCTGGGGGTTTCCTTTTGCTGAGGTTTCCTTTTGCTGTGCCTCAAATGCTGAGGTTTTCTTTTTAGCTTTGCCTCACACGCTGAGGTCCCCCCCCCAGCCTCACACGGTTCCCTTTTAGGTTTGCCTCACCTGGAGCACCACTTGAGGCGTTCTCAAAGTAAAGGAAGGATTGAATTCTGATTAATAAGAATACACAGAGGCTTGAACCAGCAAGACTCTGGGAACGGTGCATATAATAATCTCTCCATGCCTCCACCCCTCGGCCCAGGTCGTTTTATTCACAAAAGAACTTTTACAGAGTGTTCGTAAGATTTCCTCTGAGCATTTCAACAAACCCCACATGGGGACAAAATTAAACTACCAAAACTAATTAAGCACACATATTTCTGGGGTAAACAAAACAGAACTACAAAGGAGTACATTTGGCAACCCCTGCGGTCATAAACAAGCAATATACATGATAAGGAGGATGGCCAGGAAGACAGCGATCATTATAACCTTCAGGTGAGATCTGTTTCCTGGCCATAAGATTAACATCCTAAGATTAACATCAGAAAAGCTACATGAAAGAAACTGCCCACTGTCTTTGATGACCCAGGATGCTTGCCTGGCGAAGCAACTGGGCTGTGTAAGTGACTTGTCAAGCAAGAGAGATGGGCAGTAGAGGAAATGGCCAGAGATGCAGAGGGTTGTGGGATTTGGTCAGAAATTATTGTCAATGAATTAAACCCAGTCAACACAATGCATTCATCATGGACACAATGGCTTGATGCATATTTTATAATTCCTCATAGTAGTCCCACCTGACCCCACACTCTGGATATTTGCACTCCTACAAGGTCATCCATTTCTATAAACCTTTTAAGAACTGTATTACACTCTGCAAACATTTCTGTGTGTTCAGGAATGCAAGTGGCCCCCAACCAGCCAAGGCCATTATTCCGTGGTAACCATCTTTAACATGATACCATGTCACTGGCACACCATTGTCCTCTAACCGCTTCTTGTACAACAGCCCATCGTCCCGGAGAACATCATATTCACAGGTTAGAAGGAAAGTCTCTGGGAGCTGGCGGATTATGTCATCCTCTGCTAGAAGGGGGACAAACATTGTCTCATAACCTCTTTTAACTTGTTCATAAAGTTCTTCTGAAAATGGGGCAGGTGCTACAGGAACATAGCCCCTAGCTTTAAATTCTTCTGGAATGTTATCAGCACTTATCCATTTTTGGTATTTCTCTCTCAAATCAGGAGGGACATGGGCGCCTTTCAGAATTCCATCTACATTCATTATCTTCCCAGTGAGATATGTCAAACCAACTTTGACAGTTCTTTTCCGGAACATAGGAGGAACTGAATGGTTTTGCTGATAGGATGGCAAATTGAAGTCCATTCCTTGGAGGAATGGGTAAATGAGGACCTGAGCTCGCACTCTTGGGAGGTCCTCTCTGGTCACCAGTTCTTGGCAAATGGCTGCAGTAAAAGTGCCTCCACTACTCTCCCCAGCAACAGCAATACGGCTGGGGTCCACTCCGTATTCCTTTGCATTTTTCATAAAGTATATTACAGCAGTTAAACAGTCCAGTACAGGGACTGGATACGGATGCTCAGGAGCTAAGCGATACCTAAAGAGAAGGCAAGATGTCATCAGCATTCATCATACACTTTGCAGCATTTTCCTGGCATATTGCAAGGGTGGCGCCCCTAGGGCCACATTCCTTTCTATGCAACCTTCCTGGGGGCCACATGTCAGCTGTGGGTGGGACCAGAGAGCAAAATGGAAAGCAAATGCAAACTTTCCCACTGGACAAGTAGGTTGGTTCCTACACACAGCCACACACCTTTCTCTACCCTCCAGTCAGATGCCACTCAAGGATGGTACAAAAGAGGCGCAATGGTGCAGGGGTGGGGTCTGGGGTCAGAGGGAAATGAAGAGGCCCAGAGTGCAGCATTCAGCCCCTGTGCCTGATGCTCTGCACCCAAATATAATGCTAGTTCAGCTTCCCATTCTCAGTGGCCGCTGGTCAAATCTGATTCCGACCGTAGAGGCAGACTATAGCCAGCATAGCTAGGAGCCACTGGTAGCCTTATACTCCGCCCAATTATTTAATCCCTTTTCAAAGCCATCCACATTGGAAGCTATCTTTGCTTTCTGTGGGAATTAGTTCCATAGTTTAACTTTGCACTGTATGGATAAGTACTTTCTTTTATCTGAATCTTCTAGCATTCAGCTTCATTGAATGTCCACATGTTCTAGAGTTCAGAGAGAGCGACAAACACATTTCCCTAGGCCACTTTCCACACGACATGCCTAATATAACCAACTTCTATATTTTGAATATTTTGAACTTCTATATTTTGAATGTTTCCTTGATTTCCTTTTCCATCTCACCTCCAGTATGTCCCACCATGCCTTCCTGAGATCAATGCTGCCCACTCTTTCTGCCCACTTTAAACCATATGGCCTTAAAGCCAAGAACTCCAGTTCACCCACCTTGGCCAGGAGGCTTCAGATCATGCACCAAAGGTGCATTAAGGCAGTGAGGGCAGCCATTGGGAGAGATGATGTCCATTACTGTCAGGAAGGCTTGCCTTGTAAAGGGCTCTGAAGCCCTGGCAAATGACACGTCTCCCATTGCCCAATGTACCACTGCTCTCATTGGATGGTAAGTGTGGCTGACGGGACAGTTGGGAACAGCTTGAGCTTATTTGCCGGAGAGAAGTTCACCTTAACTCCAGCTGCACTTTCCCTCTCAACCACAGGGCCATTTTGCCTTAGGAGAAGAATCCTAATGGCTTTTTATGGGTTGATGTGGTGGATTTCTGTAAAAGTAGTTTAATGGCCTGATCCAGCAGAGCTCTTCTTATCATTAAAGCCAGAGGGATTGGGTCCAAAGGCATAAAAATCAAAATACAAAGGTGAACACCCATTCTAAAGGTTGGCAAATTCACCATGTTGGCAAAATCAGCTTTTTTCTGGGCTCATGTGGAAGGGTTAGAAACTGAGGGGAAATACTCTTTTTTCTGCTACAACAAGCATGAAGATACTTACTCAGCACACATAACCACTGAGTCAGTTTGGTGGGCAATGGCACGGCAGATCATTTCAGAGGTTCCTGGGGGGGGGAAAACACATCACACACTGCCTGCTGTGAGCAATTATTTGTTACGCTCCATTACAAATTTCCTTGGTCGTTCACATTGAAATCATTGTGAGTTGAATCCACTTTGAGTTAGTCCTACTGAAAGTAAGCCTGTTGAAATTAACAGATATGACCAATGCTTCCCCCCCAGGGGGTACACAAGGGTATGCACCTCTTTGTTGTTGTTGTTGTATAAATGTGTGGCACTTACCTTAACAACTTCATGGTGAGTACTAGCACCTCTTTTTCTAGAAAAAAAGGACTGGATATGACTAATATTGCTGTGTCATAAATGTCTGTTTTTAATGTCCATGGAGGCACAGGTCAATTCTGCGTCCAGGGCAACTGTTTACCAGCTCCATCTGGAATGCAGGCTGAGACCCTGTCTGCCCGCAGACTGTCTCACCAGAGTGGTGCATGCTCTAGTTATCTCCTGCTTGGACTACCACAATGCGCTCTACGTGGGGCTACCTTTCAAGGTGACCCGGAAACTACAACTAAACCAGAATGCGGCCGCTAGACTGGTGACTGGGAGCAGCCGCCGAGACCACATAACACCAGTCTTGAAAGACGTACATTGGCTCCCAGTACGTTTCCAAGCACAATTCAAAGTGTTGGTGTTGACCTTTAAAGCCCTAAACGGCCTCCATCCAGTATACCTGAAGGAGCATCGCCACCCCTATAGTTCTGCCTGGACACTGAGGTCCAGTGCCGAGGGCCTTCTTGCAGTTCCCTCACTGCAAGAAGCGAAGTTACAGGGAACCAGGCAGAGGGCCTTCTCTGTAGTAGTGCCCACCCCGTGGAATGCCCTCCCACCAGATGTCAAAGGAAAAAAACACCTACCAGATTTTTAGAAGACATCTGAAGGCAGCCTTGTTTAGGGAAGCTTTTAATATCTGAAGGACTATTGTATTTTAATATTTTATTGGAAGCCGCCCAGAGTACCTAAGGAAACCCAGCCAGATGGGCGGGGTATAAATATATTATTATTATTATTATTATTATTATTATTATTATTATTATTATTATTATTTCATAAAATATATGTGCTACTTGATTGTAGAAAACAACAACAACAACAACCATGTATAGGCTGCACAAATCACCCCCACCCCACCCCCGTCCATGGCAAACATTTCAGGATCTTTACATTAAATTACAATCTCTTCTAACAATACAGTGGAACCTCTACTAGCGACCACAATCCGTTCTGGAGGCCTGTCTGTGGCGTTTGCCCCCTAGGATGTGTCAAAGAAAGGGTTAAAATGGGTGTGAGGTGATTGGCCAGTGAGAATGCGAGGGGGGAGTAAAAGATAGAGTGGGAGGTTTTGAAAAGTCAGTTGAGGTCTGGGGGTTGACGGTTGAGGTTTGGGAGTTGGGAGTTGAGGTTTGTCAGTTGGGAGTTGAGGCTTGGGTGTGGGAGAAGGAAGAGGGTGGATTAGGAGTGGGTTGGTTGAGTTGTATTGTGAGAGAGTGAGAGGAATTGTTAGGGAGTTAGATAGATAGTTGGGAATAATTCAGTTTGAAGTTGTAGGCACAGGGTCAATAGACCGTGAAACGTCCGGGGACCCTGTGTGATCACCACAAAATTGGTGGTGCAGCGGTGGGATAACAACCGAACCTGCCGCCACAAAATTGGTGACAGCAGCGGGATTCGATAAGTCTAAGTGCCTGTGAGGGGAAACAATACACCTGGAGAGGGGAAGGGTAAAATCGGTGAAGAGATTACCTGGCCTGAGGGTGTGATTGAGGATAAACCCCAGATTGCCGTTTGGCTGAGATAACAATAAGAGCAAGAGATCTCAAAAGACTGTTTTGGTGGAGGCTTAGGCTCAGGGTCAGAGGAAGTAAGCTTGAAAGGTTAGAGGGAAAAAACCTAAAGCTACTTCTGGGTTAGCGCCATCGGCGAATGGCGGAGTTCCTCCGACCAGAGGAACAGGCTCCGTGGAAATTGGGGTCTCCCGCCGCGGCGAAGGCGGGGGCCCGTTAGAAATCCCAGGCGGAGGAAGCCTGGGACCGTGGGGTTCGGCAGAGCACCAAGAGCGCCTCCCCTACTCACAAGGAAACCCTTTTTTGGGGCTCCGAAGTGAAGTGGGGTGAGCAGCGCGGTGCATCGAACCGATCGCTATTTCCATGGAGGGAAGCCGCGCAGCCATCGCCAGAGAGCGCTGACTTTTTCCTGATGACATTTGGACTCTAAATCAAGTACCCGTGAGTAAAAATGGAGAATCGGATTAAGAACCTGCAAATTTTATGAATTAGGCACGAAGCGGGAAGGTGTAAACAGGAAGTCCGCCTCCCGTTCTTGTATACAGATTGAAGCAAAGGCCTTGCAACCTAATAGCCGAAAAAGTCTTTTTAAAGTTGGAAATTTCCTGCACCCATAACTAACAAAACCCCCCTTGGAAGCAGGAGAAAAGGGGGGGGGATTTGACTGTTTAATCCTGCAGGAAGTGAGAGAAGGAATTTAAGTTTCTACCGTCCCAAACCTGGGTACGGGGTATCGGGACAGAATTTGTTTGAGACGTCCATCGATTGAAAGTGGAGCACTTTGACAGATAGAAAAAATAAAAGAAAAGAGAAACAAACTAATTTCAATGCCACCTTCTGCATTTTTGCTTTTAAAGAAACAAAGTATTTGAAATTGAAAGAACTTTGAAATTGAAAGTAACTTTCTTTGCTTGATACTTTCCTGAAAAATGGATACAAATAGAAATTGTGTCCCCTAGAGGGAGCTTGTCAACTTGCAGTCTCAGCTTACATATGTGAGGTCTGAATCGTGGGAACAGTTGTCTGACCTTGTTTTGGAACAGAAATGTCTTGGCAGGAAGGCTTGGTGTTTGCCCTTGACAGGACTAATGTTATGCTGGAACAGCTGTCTGTGAAAATGAGCCTGCTGAATGAAAAATTAAACATCATGAGTGCTGTGGCCAGTGAATATGATTTAACAGGGAACAAGGACAAAGAAGCTACACTGCGATCAACACAGGAATCTGGTCTGACAAAGCAAGTTCAAGGGCAGATGGAGAAGGAAGAGGCAGTAGCTACTCCCTGCATAACACAAATGGTAAGATCCAAAGTTCTTCAGGAACAAAACCCATTGCCTTGGAAGATGGAATTTGGAGGGTGCTGGGAAGCATCTGAAGTCAAGGAAGCTTTTTACTCTAGTGGGACTGTGAAACAGGTGAACAACTATTTGGACAAATACTTTTTGGACTACAAAGAAGATTGGGAGTGGAACTGGGGGGAAGGGAACAATCTGAAGAAAAATGGAAATTACTACTGGATGGAACCCTCCGGAGACCCACTCCCCCAGAAACTAATAATAGACAAGGAACTGCGTAAATACAAACAAGAACAAAAAAATCTGCAGAAGGGGCCTAGAAGAGACTTAAGAGCCTCGGACATTAGGACACCGGATTGATGGACTAAGTAATGGACAGAAGGGACTGATATGACCCGAAACCAGGAAGAAGGGACGTTCGATGAAAACCAGAAATATGAAGGGAATTTTTTATGTTAATTTTGGAATTAGAGTAATATTATTGAAATTTGAGGGATTTGGTTGGAAAGGATTTAAATTGGCTTTAGTAGAAATGTTTTTAAGGAGAAATGCATGAATGTGATGTGTTTTTGAAATTTTAAGATTTTTAACATAAGATAAGGCTAGATGGAGTAAGGTAAATTGAATAATAGACTATATTAAAAGAGGGAAAAGATATGTTGATTAATTAATAAGACAGAGTGTGAAGATTAATAATTTAAACTAAAATTGAGAAATATGGGAAGAATTTGCTGAAACAATGATCTAAACTGGAATACAAAAAGGGAGGTGTGAGGAGGTTCAAGAACTAAGCAACTGAAAAACTGCAATTTGAGATTTGTTTGTTTTTTTTCCTTTTTCTTTTTTGGGCTAGGGGTTTTTTCTATGTACTGTTAAAAGAAACTGAAAAATTGAGAGTTGAGCAAGAAACTGAACAATTGAGGCTTGAGAAAGAATTGGAAAAAGAAAAATTGAGGGCAGAGCAGGAAAGGGAACAGCAGCGGTTTCAGTTAGAGATGAGACGGTTGGAACTAATGGTATTAGAAAATAGAAAATAACACCGATGGGCAGAATCAAATGAAGATAGATTTAAAACGCTTTCCTGAATTTAGAGATAGGGATAGCCCAGAAGCATTTCTAGTAGCCTTCGAGAGAGCCTGTCACGATTTTCAAGTAAGAGAGGAAGATAAAATGATGATCTTGAGAGCTAGAATAAGCGGTCCTCTAGCCGAATTATAGGCTCAAATGACTGAGGAACAATCCTGAAATTTTGAGGTGTACAAGCAGTTAGTATATACACGCTTTGGGATTACCTCAGAGCAGTTGAGGAAAAAATTTAGAAGTGTGACAAAGGTGAGGGAGGAAACCTATGCGCAGATGGGTGCAAAGATAAAAACTTACCTCACAATATGGTTAGAGCAAGAGAATGCAGACACAGTACCTAAGATTAGAGAAGTGATGGCGTTGGAGCAATTTTACGACACAATAAATGGCCAATTGAAGTACCTGATAAAAGAAAGAAACCCCAAGACAATAGAGGAAGGAGCGGGTTTAGCCGATAAAATAAATGAAATCTGAGACCATGGATTTGATGGGCCAAAATTTGGTGGGAGATATTGGGAAACAAACAAGAATAACTTTCAGCAAACCAAAGGAAAGTTTACCTCAGAAACCGATAAGAGAGGCAGCCCCTCATTGGGAAGCCCACATGAGAAGGCACACACCCATACAGAGTTTACTGAGGGAAAAGTAAATAAAACAAGTTATGCAGGACCCAAAGACTTTTCATGCTGGAGATGTGGGAAATTAGGTCATAAACGTTTTGATTGTAAAACAGGAAAAGAAACATCTAGTTATAGTACCACACAGAAACAGACATATTGTATCCAGTCTGTGGAGCAGAGCCCAACTAGCCAGGTTGTCAAGGAAACAGACATGCCAACTAGGCCTGAGCCTGCTGAGGTAGCAGAGGCCAAAGTCCTGCACTGTTATGTGATTCAACAAGATAATCTCTTGTTAAAGAATGCTGGAGAGTATATCTGGATAGACGGAAAAAGATATCTCGGGTTAAAGGACACGGGATCTCAAGTCACCATAGTCCACCCAGATATAATCAGGGATGATGTCATAATTCCAGGAAAAGTAATGAAATTAAAAGGAATTTCGAAACAAGCAGAAATCCTAAAGGTGGCGGAAATAGATGTCAGATTCAAAAACTGGGCAGGGAAGTGGCAGGTAGCCCTGTCGGAAGAAATTCCCGCCCCTGTGCTCATTGGTTGGGACATTTTAGAACATGTGCAGAGTACTTTAATAGTTACGAGAGCAAAACGGAGTCCACAGTCACCTAATCCTGAGGGGGTGGATACAGTAGCAGAGGCAGACAATGCTGAAGGACAGCAAGGGAATGATCAGTGTGAGGAAAGAAAAGACACCTTTTTATTTCCTTTGACTAAAAGTCAAACCTCAAGTTTTGCCAAAAAGCAAAAAGAAGATACTGAATTACAAAAGTACTTTGAGGCAGCTGAGTCGGAGAGGTCATTAACTCCTGAGTGCCCAGAATGGTTTTGTTTGAGCAAGGGCCTTTTATATCGAGAAGTCCTTGACCCACCATGCAGGGGGGGGGGGTGAAGAAGTGAAAAGACAGTTAGTAATCCCTCATACCTATAGAGAAAAGATTTTGCAACAAGCCCATAATAGCATTGTTGGTGCACACATGAGAGTTGTACATCATATCGACACTGGAGATGCTAAGCCAATTGCTGTCAACCCATATAGAATAACTGGAGAGTATGTGGGGAAAGTTAGCAATGAGATAAGGGCAATGCTGAAGGCAGGGATTATAACCACTTCAGAAAGTCCCTGGGCAGCACCCATAGTGTTATTAGACAAACCTGATGGAGCTATTAGATTTTGCCTAGATTATAGGAAGCTGAACCATGTCACTAAAGCGGATGCATATCCAATGCCGCGTTTAGATGACCTGAACGAAGCTATAGGCCAGTGTCATTACATCACCTTCCTAGACTTAACAAAGGGGTACTATCAAGTAGAAATGGACCCTAAGGACCAGGAGAAAACTACGTTCAGAAGTCCTTTAGGGTTGTTTGAATTTAAAATAATGCCCTTTGGCTTAAAGAATGCGCCAGCAACTTTTCAGCGATTGGTGGACAAAATCCTGAATAGATTAAGAAACTGGACAGCAGCATGTCAGCAGGCGTTTGATGCCTTAAAAAGCGCCTTGACATCAAATCCAGTCCTTGTTGCTCCTGATTATGATCGTGAGTTCACCATCTTCACTGATGCATCTAATGCCGGGATCGGGGCCATGCTGTGCCAACAGGGAGAGAAAGACGACCTGCATCCCATCAGCTTCATAAGCAAGAAACTACTACCAAGGGAAAGACAATATTCGACCATCGAGAAGGAATGCCTTGCCATTGTATGGGCATTACAGAAGCTGAAGCCGTACATCTGGGGCCGAACTTTTACTTTATGTACTGACCATTCACCCTTGTTGTGGTTGAGGACAATGAAGACCAACAGTAAGTTGTTGAGGTGGGCCCTATCACTGCAAGACTTTAATTTTACGATTAAAAATGTGAAAGGGACCCTGAATACCGTCACAGATGCCTTGTCCAGAAGACCTGCAGTTGAAAGTTAACTGAATACCTAACATGTAAAAGGTTTTTGTATATATGTATATTTTACCAGAACACAGTATTTGATGTGCAAATGTTAGATGTGATGTGAAGGGTGAAATGACAGGTTAGGAAATGTTTATTTGCCATAAAAATGTACTGCTGATTGATCAGGAGAAACACTAGGTTAAGTTATCCCTCCTGAATCAATCTTATTAAGGGGGGAGGAATGTGGCGCTTGCCCCCTAGGATGTGTCAAGGAAAGGGTTAAAATGGGTGTGAGGTGATTGGCCAGTGAGAATGCGAGGGGGGAGTAAAAGATAGAGTGGGAGGTTTTGAAAAGTCAGTTGAGGTCTGGGGGTTGACGGTTGAGGTTTGAGAGTTGGGAGTTGAGGTTTGTCAGTTGGGAGTTGAGGCTTGGGTGTGGGAGAAGGAAGAGGGTGGATTAGGAGTGGGTTGGTTGAGTTGTATTGTGAGAGAGTGAGAGGAATTGTTAGGGAGTTAGATAGATAGTTGGGAATAATTCAGTTTGAAGTTGTAGGAACTAAGATTAGGAAACTGACCAGAGGAAGATAAACTGCAACCATATGCTTGTTCCTGCTCTTAAAAATAAACTTGATTATTTGTTTATGTTAACAACTGTCTGGACTCCCTGTGTCCCTGTGAGAAGCGGGGTGGTGGCAGCGAAGAAAGCAACCGCAGTGGTGGCACAGGGTCAATAGACCGTGAAACGTCCGGGGGCCATGTGGGATCGCCACACCGTCCTTATGGCGAAACGGGTCGCTGGGAGAAGCGCCATTGTGGGCAGGCATGGACGACAATTGCCTGCTTCTGTGCAGGCACGAGCGGCAGCAAACCCGCCAGTTACTTCCGGGTTTGCCATGGTCGCAACTTAGAATGTCTGCGAGTGGTGGCGGTGGTAAATAGAGGTTCTACCATTTCAAACACATTTCACAGAACTTACGAATGCTTCCAGCCACCGCAGCACCTCCATGAAGAAAGATGATTCCTTTCCTGTTCCCAGCAGGTGATGTCTTGGGCCAGTACAGCCTCACAGGCACCCCATCAAAAACCAGGTCCTTTATGATCAGTTTGGAGTCCTTCATTATCGGAATGAATAGGCACATGGCCCTGATTATGGAATATCTATGGCAGATGCCCATTTTTTCCAGAATTCCTGCCTGTTTAAAACAAAACATTTAGCATGGATTATTAGCGTTAGATATTTTTCCACTTGCAATTTTTTAATACTTAAAAAAGTATTTTGGGACCGTCTAATCCAGCCTCAAGAAATGATCATGACCATACTTTGACACAGGGTGAGATACCTGGTACTTGTAAGACCATTCCCTGCTGAAAGGCCCATTTCCCCTTGGCCTAGGGGGCAGGGCCCAGACTCACCTTGAACAGCTAAAAGGGGATGCTGGGAGGCCAGAGGGGCATTGCTGGAACAACTCTTGGGATATGGCAACTGGCTAAAAAGTTTTAAAATCTTTAATTTTAGTTCCCCTGTTTTGTTTTTGTTGGGTTGGGGTTGGTTAAATGTTTTGTTGGGATTGGCAGCTATTTTAATTTGGGTATTATTATTATTATTATTATTATTATTATTATTATTATTATTATATATATTGATTTATAGGTTTATTTTAATCTGTATAAGATATTCTGTTTGTTAATGTTTGATGTTTTATTATGCTTATATATGCTGTAAGCCACCCAGAGTGGCTGTGTAAAGCCAACCAGATGGGTGGGATACAAATAATAAAATTAGTATTATTATTAGTATGCCAATATCACATTGATAGCAAAACAAGATCATGACCCAGCCCAAGTCAATAATTATAGACCTATTACTTTGCTTAATTGTAATTATAAATGGTTTGTGGCAATATTAGCAAGAAGACTCAAACAAGTGTTAGGAAACTTAATACATGAAGACCAAATAGCATTTCTGCCGATGAGGCAGTTAAAAGATAATGTTGCAATTGCATTAAATGCTACTGAATATTTTGAAAAAAGAAATGATTAGCAATTACCCATGGTTTTTCTAGATACAGAGAAAGTGTTTGATAATTCACTGGTCAACAACAAATTTGTTGTCTGCGTTTTTTTAGTTGATTTAGGACGAATCTGATGCGCTGAATCCAAAATCACATTGGTTTTGCTCAATCAGGTCAAGTTTTTGAGCTATGGCCACATGTCTTTTTTATGTTTTTGTTCACATGTACACTTGAGTGGGGCATTTTAGAAGAAGTTCGTGGGGGTAAAATGCCATGTTGAATAATTGTTTTGATTGGAAATGATTATTTTAATGACAAGAAGTATTTTATTTTATTTTATTTTATTTTAATGACAAGAAGTATAAACCTCGAAATCTTCCATAAATTGGTGCGGCTGGGATCAACAGAAAGAACTGGAGCAGCCTCAAGTATCCTGATCTTCAATCAGCACATCGTCCTGTAGCTCATTGTGATGAAATTCCAGTGCCTATCTTCGGAGATCTTCCTGACATTAGTGACGAAGATGCCTCCAGTGTTGAAGGACATGAAGAAGAAGAAGTGGTTCTTGAAGATGATGCTCCACATCCATTTTCCCAAAAGGAGTTGAATGATCTAGTTTGCAACCTCAGCTTGTAAAGGACTCTGCCGAACTGTTGGCATCCAGATTGAAGGGAAAAAAACCTCCTCTCTGACAGTGCTTGCATCAGCTTCTTCTGCAACAGGCATCAAGAGTACCTCCGTTTTTTCTCGGAAGAGAAAGACATGGTGTACTGTGCAGATATTGCGCAGCTTCTGCTCAAGCTTGGAGTGCCACAGTACGAACCCAAAGATTGGAGACTGTTCATTGACAGCAGCATGCTGACCGCTTTCAGAAACCTGGGCTGCAACATGAGCGTCAAGATGCACTACCTATTTTCACCTATGGACCAGTTTCCCAAGAAACTGGGTTCAATGAGTGACGAGCAGGGGGAGAGATTCCATCAGGACATGAAAGAGATGGAGACCAGGTATCAGGGTCGCTGGGACAGTCATGATGGCTGACTACTGTTGGACTCTGAAGAGAGACCTCCCTGCTGCTGAGCATTCCAGGAGTTCCAAGAAACGGAAGTTCAAGCCCTGAAGTTTGAAAAATGGTGAAGCAACATGCAATTTACGTGTACTTACCTTTATCAATGCCCACCATTCAGTTTACAATAAACCTGACCTGATGAAGAGAAACGGATGCCATTTCCTGATTCAGCAGTGCAAAAATACCCTAAATCAGTTGTAGAAATCTAGACAACATTCAAAAAGTAAAAAATTGTTACCCAGTGTAA